CTGTAATTACATGTTTCGTTTCAGCGTTTCAGGCATCTGAAACGAAAGTGATTTGAATATAAATGACTTAGTGTATACTAATAAAGCACCGACCAATGATAACTGAGTCTTAACTGCATTCGATGAACCATAAGTGTTTGATTTTTGAATAACGGGAAATGTCACTGCTATTAATACAACTCTTTAGACAGTCATACATTAAAAGAAAATCACTTCCTTGTTTGTTTTTGAGTGTTTAAACCGTGTATGTTGATCGATATACAAATTCGCGTGCGCACGTGCACGTGCGTACCAAATGAATACGGAAAGCCCCTCGAAACCGAAACCGGAAAATTAAATTGTCCGGAACGGCGCGCAAAAAATGTTGCCGTTTTCGAGGACTGCATGCAAAAAAATATATTTTCCTTTATCTCGCCAGTATTTCCAAATAATAATTATGATAAAACAAGGTACACAAAACAAAAGAAAAACGTCGAGAACAACTGTAAAATATTTTAAATCAAGACAAGTGCGGGCTTTAAATGGAGTAAGATTGACACGCGCTAGACCCGACTTAAAATTCAGTAGTCGGAAGTCGAACTGCATGTAAAAGCGAGAAATTTACCTTAAAATACGATTTTATAGTACTTCAAAGGACAGAGAGTAAACAATTTTTCCGTTGCGTTTAAAATAAATTTAGGTACATATCCCAGGCATAGAAAGCTGAGTCTCCATTTGAGAGGTACAAAACAATTCATTGACGTATGTTTTGGTAATTTTTTGAGCTTTGTAAGCATCTTTCACGATTTCACTTTCTATTTGTGAAATGGTCAGCTAGTTCTGAATGAAACTGCGGGCCGGCCGGCGCGTTAAATATATTACCGCTTTCTCTAATTTCTATACAGCTCCTACAATACGTTACTTCGCATTACTGAGTCAGTGATTTGGCGATAGCAAGACTCACAGCGATTATCGATGAATCAAGTCTCATACGAATCTCGTTTTGTGTGCCATGAAATGATGACGTCGGTTAAAAAAACCTAAATTAGAAAATGATGACGAAGTCTGCAACTTTAAGTCGTTGAATATTTATGTATGTGACCTGTAACCTGGGTGTGTCTGGACCTGTCGATCCATAAGGGTCAACCAAATAATTAAATTATAATTAAAAATAACTATTACCGGCCTTAATGGGGGTTTCCCAATTACGCGTATAGAGTTTGTATAGAGGCAGCACCTCTGTAAAACCCAGTAATTCAATTTCGACACGATCACGTCGTCTGAAGCTTTGAGGTATCGAAGATGAATCGCAAATGTCTGCAATATGTTTTCCTAGGTGAGTAAGATAGTTTTACTTTCTAAGCTAAGTGTGTCGATATAGCTTTTTGTCAGTTTAGATTTCATTTGTTAGACAAATATTTTAATATGTGGTTTCAACAGGTATTAGCGACTCTTCGAAAAGCCCTTGCGGTGAATATGGCTCGTACACTTTTGAGAGTGCGTTTATACACCGGAGTCTTTAAATTGAAAACCGTTTAGTTATGCCGGGATTATGTATGTGCTGAGTGGGATTAATAAACAAGTAACTC